TGGCAAAGCAACAAACTTTCCTACTAATGGTTTTATTCTCCCTTGGGCTTTTCCTAAATATAGTAATTTGGAAAATCTGCACCATTCTCGATATCATTTGCTTCTGTGGCCTGACCGTTTATATAACTGAGGGTTCCATGGTACAGGGTGTTGTAGGCTGTTGCAGATGATAGATAAACATAATTGTTCATAAATAATACATCGCGATGAGAACAGTTCTCCCAGCTAGCCGGACAATGCCCCTGCCTTTGGATGGATCCTGGGGTGAAATGGACTGTTCCATCCCACCCCCCAAAAGATGTATGGTTCACCCCGCACCTCTGTACCCTCCCCTAAAACATTAGTATATGCAACCCCGTTGGATATGCCTCATCCCAACCCACCTCGGAGCCCCTTGATAAGGAGGCTTTGAGGGGCCGCGCGGTCTCTTGGAACTTCCTCCCCTCTTGGAACCTCCTCCCCTCTCTTGGAGCTTCCCCTCTCCTTGAGCATCCTTCTGTCTCTCCCCTCCCCACCCTCTCAGGCTCGGCCACGTGCTGTGCCTGGGAGCACGAGGCAGAACCTTCTGCACCCCCAATAAACCTCTTTCCCCAAGAGCAAACTTCAAAGATCTCTGCCTCCATTCATCTACACCGTGCTGGAGCCTGCTATTTTCCACAGTAGGCCAACTAACTTATTTCAGTAAATGGGGATACAGGTGTTTCCAGTTAAGAAAACTACTCTACCACAATAGAATAAAATATGTCTTCAGCTTTAAACATATCTAGAAAATACATTGTTCACTTTGGCAAGGACTCTTAAGCAGTAGTTTGCTGTTATGCTTTCCAAAATATGTTTTTCAATTTCCATATTTTGTTAGCAAAGACCTTTTCCTAGATGTTTCTCAAAGTAAGTGGAATTTGAAACTCAACTTTATTCTCTCATCACACAGATAGGCTAGATCACAGCACTGGGCAATGGATACTCTATTTACATATTGCCTACAAGTAAGTATGGGCCATAATTTAAAGAAATTGCCAGATCAATTTTCTTTAGGGCCCTATCTGAAAAACTCGAAACACTGCATCAGAATATCCTTAACCCCTCCTTAGTCTCCAGTGACATGATATTATAATACTGTTATTTTGCAGTCATTTAAAAAAAAATCAACCAAAAATACCAAAAAAAGCAAAAAGACATGCCCCACTCTTTCTCACCCTGTCTTTCAAAAAGAAATTCAAGCAAAACTTCTCATCTCCCTTAATGGAAACAAAATACAGCATGTTTATGTGTATCTAGCAAAACTAAGCTATCTTTTGAAGATATCCTACTTCAAATGACACTAACTTTATAACACCTTGCTGACAGAGTAACAATAAAGCATTTTGTAGGAAAATAATAGTTAATATATAATTCCAGTAAAACACAAAGTGTTTCATGGTTCAATTCTGTACATGCAGTCCAATACAGTGGCAGAAGGGAAAAAGACTCAAAACAAACTGAGCAAAACAGGTCATGTATTTGAAATGCAAGTAGCCTTTGATATTCCAAGGCTTAGGTTTTGTTTAATCAAACTACCAGCCAGATTATTCCACATGTTTGTGAACTACAACTGGAGCTTATAACTCCAGTCTTGTAGTTGAACTATCCATAGCATTAGAACACCAAAATGCCAACAAAAGAAGAAAATTTCAGAAAATACAAAAAGACATCTTGCATACCAAAACTGCAGTATGAAATCAAAATATCTAAGTAGAAAAACTAAACTACTTTTCTTTTGGTTGCTACACTAGTACCATTATTATAATAGTACCATGTATATAAATATATTCAGGGAAATTCTGAAAGGTTTTAGTCTTATTTTCCTTCTTCAAGGTTATTTTCATACCAATGAGAAATATTTATGCAGAAAGTATATTACCAAACACTGAAAAAGGTTGCAACACAGAGGAATGATCGGTCATCCAGATAGCTAAAACTTTCACCTAGGCTCCCATTATCACTTAACTTGATTACTGCTGGATGAATCATATTTCACTGTCAAAGCCCTTCGCAACCTGTCGTTATTACCACCTTCATCTTCCATTCGCCACAGAAATGCTGAACTGCCACTGTTAACTATATAGAGTCGACCTTCTACATTTTTAAAACAGTTTAGGGCCTTCTCCTGGCATTTTTGCTCTTTGAGAGAGATTTTCTGAAAAAATTTCACAAAGCTGTCCCAGCATCTTCCTTCAAAATCAGTTTTATTTTTTTATTTTTCCCCCCAGAACAGGTGTTCAAGAATGTGACATTATTGCCAGGGCTGTTGACTAAGAAATAGATCAGCCAATCCAACTGCAGATTGCCACTTCCATTCCACTAACAACAGGTTTTAGCTAATCCAATGGTAAGCAAATAAATAAAATAAAGAACAAGCTTTAAAACCCCACCTCAAAAAAACTCCCCAGACCTACCAAGCCCCTAAGTAGAGGTAATGCAAGCTATGTCACTTAACTAGCTCAGTCCGGATTCAAATTACACTTTAGGGAACCTGAATGTGCATAAGTCTACATGACCTGGTCTGTGAGATATGAAGAGAAAAAAGAAAGATAGAAAATAAAAAATCAGTTAAAGGAATTATCATGTGTATATTATGGTATCAAATTATGAGGATGTAAGACATTTCTAGAGATATGAAACTGTGAAACATTTTGAAAAATATACTATGTATTTTATAGGAAAATTCTTTTAAATACTCAAGTTAAAAAAATGGGCAGATTATTTTCTCACCCTTGCATTCCTACCCCCAATTTTTGCTATGGCATTCCCAGCTTCCAAATGTTTAGAGGAGTTTTCAGAAAGTCTCAAAGCAGGATACTGGACCAGGTCTCCACATCACATACTTTGAAGATAATTCTTTTTTGGGGGGTGAGTGGGGGAGGGTGACATGGTTTTTGGGGTGTGGGGAGGCTGGGATAGAGATAATTTGACTTAGAAGCTGGTAACATGATGCATCTTGAATTTAGTTTGAGAATAATGTTGGTAACACACTGGTGTTTCAGTTGTTGCTAAATAGTGCTTAGCCTGAATCAAGGACTTTTCAGTTTTCCATGCTCTGTCAGTGAGGAGGTGCATAAGAAACTGGGAGAGTGTGGCCAGGAGACAGCTGACTCAAACTAGCCACAGGGACATTCCACACCAAGAGATAAATTGGTGGGAGCTGGTCTGAGGATGGGCTGGGCATTGGTCAGTGGCCAGCGTACAATTTTATTCTGCATCCCTTTTTCCTCCAGTTTTCTTCTTCTCTCTCTTTTTCATTACTATTATCATAATCATTAGCATTATCAGTATTTTTATTACTCTGATTCAATTATTAAACTGTTCTTATTTTACCTGAAATTCTCCTCCACACCCTGCAAGGCAGGGGAGGAGGGGATGAGCCAGTGGCTGTGTGCTTCTTAGTTGCCAGCTGGGGTTAAACCAGGGCAGATTGCAACTCATGTAAAGCTGTGTTTTTAAATATGCAACTAATTGGTCTGTACATTTCATAATCAATATTCACAAACGTTTCCATCTGCCACAGTGAAAATAAAATTATCATTCCTCAGTCACAGAACATTTATATTCATGAGCAGTAAGTAAATATTTAGATTTCAGTGTGAAGCTAGAGGCATCAGCTCTGTAACCACATGGGCAGTCCCTTAGGTACACTCAACTTACTTTTCTGAAGCATTGAAAAAACAAACACACACTGCAGTTCTGCAAACACATGTATTTTATATACTACAGCGATACATCAGATCAGCAGATAACATTGCAAAATAAAAACACTGGGATACCTGACCCTCTGTGCTTTCCTTAAGGCAAGCCTTCAATTTAAAATGTTCTCTACTACATAAGAAAAAAGTAGCTCAAATGACAAAGTCCAGTAAGAAAAATTCCACAATTAGGAAGGGATCATTTGCATTAATATGTATACAGAGTGAAAATACTGGACAACATTCTTTTTAGTTTTAGCAAAGGTGAAAGAACATTAGCTATACACATGCAATCATATTTTCACTGCTAAGAAGACCCAAAGCATTCTTGGAAACTTCTGAGACGTTCCATTTAAAAACAATAAACATTTTCACAACAAAATGCGGAGTTTTCAATTTGATCAGATCTTAAGTAGACAGCAACCATGACACCAATGCTGACGAAACAGCAAGCCTGAGAACAGCAAGGAGTTGCTAAAATGCGTGTGTGCAATCCACTACCTTTTATAGGTTTTACTTTAAATAATTCTCAAAACTGAGAAAATCAAAGATGAAATGCATAATAAATAGGAACGCTACAAAACAGATCCTGCAATTTCGAACTTTCCCAGGTATGGATTAATCTTTCAAGGAAGTGAAGAAAACCCACTGCTGAAACAACCAAGTCACGCTTCACACCAGCATTGGATGGGTACAGAAATCAACTCAAGGTCCAAAGGGTCACACTCCCAACACCGTGAGGTGTTGAAAGTTTCTTCTTTTCCAGGTCGCCACCAGGTACCACGCCGGATTAATAACAAGTATATATGCTGGCAAGGCCAAAAAACGTTCGCAGATCGCACAAACCTTGCCGAGAAGCACTTACAATCGATATACCGAAAAGGAATAAAAGAGCTCTAAAAATGAGCTCAGTCACAAGAACTGGCCAGACCTTTCCCCCCCTCCCCCGGGGGTAACAGAGGAGGGCTTTGCCCCGCCGCGGTTTAAGCAACGGGCCAGGAGCGCGGGCGGCCCCAGCCCGCCCCGCCGCGAGTGCGAGCTGCCCCGCCCTGCCGAGACACCGGGCGAGGCGCGCGGGGACCGAGGGGAAGCGAAGGGGGCCGGGACAGCCCCCGCCGCTCCCAGGGCCGCAGAAGCGACAGCAGAGGCAACAAGAGCAGCGGCGCCAACAGCAGCGGCCGCGGCAGCGCCGGCGAGGAGGGCGGAAGGGAAGGGGCGGGGAGGAAAGGGCGGAACCGCATCCGGGCGCGCCCCGCTCCCTGACGCGCTCACTCACCGATCATGGCGGCGGCGGCGGCCCCGCGCGCGGAGAGGGGCGAGGCGTGCGCGCACGTGCCGGCCGCACCCACCGCTCCGCGCTGCCCCTTTCGCCGCCCTGGGGGGGTCGCGCCGCTGCGGGCGTGTTGGGCCGGCCCTGAACGCGCATGCGCCTCGGTGGCGGAGGTGGAGGCACGCGCTGGGCTCTCTGGGTAGCGTAGTTCCTGGGCAGCTCACACCCGCACACGCTCTTCTCACGTTATCGCCTCACGTTTCCGCCACACACCGCTAATGACTTTCTCGTTAATTGCTGTCCGCCGCCCCGGTGTGCGGTGCACCGGGGGTAGGTACAGCTGTCCGGGACCGGGCGGTGCCGACGGGGCTATTTGTGATTCCCCTCCCGCTTCCCTCAGGGTTGTTGACGCGTTGCCTGGCAACGGTCGCGTGGTGGCAGGTGCCGACGGAGCTCGGCAGGGCCGGAGCCGGCGGGGACACCGCGGCGGGCGGGAGGGCGGGGGCGAGACCCCCGGGGGACAAGGACATCAGGTGGCGAAGGGCTGGACACGGCGGGGTGCGGGGGACGAGCGGGGATGATGCAGAAGGGGACTGGGGAAGAGGGGCAGGCAAAAGGGGTCTGTGAGGAGTAGGGAAGGCGCGGGACGGGTGTGTGAGGCTGCCGCTGGTTGCGGAGGGAGAGAAGCTGGACCTAATGCCTGCTCTAACTCGCTGGACACGGGACGCTGATGGTCGCTTGTTTTTTCCAGTCCGTAACTTGCATCTGGTCCGCCGTGGGCGCCGGTGGGGAGATTGTAATGGAGGAGGGGCGCCCGGGCCCCTCAAAATTGGCCGGTGACAGGCGGCCCCAGCAGCAGGAGAAGAAGGACAAGCAGCAGGACAAGCAGCAGGCCTGCGAGGGTTTCAGTATTAGAGCCATGATGAAAAACAGCGTGGTATGTTTGCTGCAAGCATAGTGGTGATACTAATTAACTGAACTTGTCCAAGAAGCATAGCAAGTTAGAGCTGTGGATATAGCGTGGCAGGAAGGTGTGCAAGTTTCTAATACTTTATCTGGAGTTTGCTGGTTGCTGAAATTACCCTCGGACTTTGCAGGAGTATTGCTGCAAGTTGCGATACTTTCACCAAGTGCTTTATTTTGGTGCTACTTCTTTTTTTTTTTTTCTATGGTTTTGTATTGGCAGTGCACATCCTGTTAAACTGCCAGCCTATGGAATTGTGCGTGAAGCTTCCTGCCTCCCACTTAGCAAAATGCTGTCAAGTAGTGCAGTATTTCTCAAAAGTTTTCATACACTGGCATGGTATATAAAACTGATATGAATATCACATAGATCTGGAAAATAGATTAATAGATTTTTTTAAATAAGCTTGGAAAATAACTTCTACACCATCTAGGAGAATACTAAACAAACAAACATTAGTTCTCCAACTTGTAGTTCAAAGACAGAGAAATTGATCCAACAAGTAGCAGTCACAATTTCTAATGAACTTGAAGGCTTGGGAGTTAAAATAGTAGTATAAAGGCCCTTCAAATCTCTTTATACTGTTTTATTTATCTACCTTTATCAGAATTTAGGAGTTAAAAGCTTTAACTAGTACAGAGTACAAATATTCAACATGTGAGTGGATGAGGTAATATAACCACACATCTCTGCCTAAGCTCCTGAATTGTATTCTTCATTTGGACACAGTTCAAGGTGTTAGCAAAGGCTTGAGTCCTCAAGGGTTTTTTTAAATCTATAGAGTGTTCTGACAGCTGTTATGAAATACATTATTTCCCTTTGTTTTGCTGAAGTGGTCTTCCTGGAGCAGTCTCTCTGATCTTGTTATCAAGATGTTATGTTATCAAGAAGAAGTTAGCAAGAACATCCTCTTAAAAAGCCAAACAAGCATGTCTTTAAAGAAATTTTAAATAGAGTAAAAGTTGTATACCTGAAAAACTTTCTCCTATTCAGTAAAACTGCAACATATTTCACCTTACTTGGAAAAACACAAGGTGAATACAGCCAAATAATCTCTTTGTTTTAAAGATTGTTTGGTTTGTTTATTTTTATTGTAGAGATGCATGGAATGAACTATAATACTTCAGCAACCTTTAGGATTAATTTTTAAAATATGTTTCCTGTTCTCCAGAGAAAATTCAAGTAATGGATATTTGCATGTGGTTGTTTACACCTAGATATGTAAAAGACTATTTTGTCTAGAAGAATCAGCAGTTTCAGTTGAGTTTGAGAAGCACATATTTAATTTATAAAAAGGAGCTGTGACTTGTGAACATAACTAACTATGAGTTTAATCAGAATTCAGGTTTCCTTTTAAATATTTATAGAGTATTAATTTTTATGGCTGCCTTTATGACTTCCTAAACATGAACAGACCATTAAATCATGTGATACTGTTGTTAAGGAACTGCCTACAAGTAAATCTGCTGCCTTTGCAGCTACTCACAGAATAACAGAAATTATTTTCTTTGGCATGGACATCTGGAAATCATCTAAGCCAACTTTCTACTTGAAGTGGGCCTGTCACCAGCATCCAGATCAGGTCAGTGAGGGTTTTCCTAGCTAAACTGTGACATCAGGGATTGCCTGACCTCTCTGAGCAGCCTGTTTCATTTCTGCCCTGCTCATCTGTCCCCTCGCTTGCCCTCCCAGCCTGTCAGAGCTCGGGTTTACAGTATTATGACCTGCTGCACATGTTCTACTCATAACTGGGTTGGAAGCTCTGAAATTCTTAGTGGTCTTGGGAGATTCATAGTACCAGGGCTATGTTTTGCAAGAGCTCCATCTGTGGTCAGGCAGCCACCAGAATAACTTCCAGTGTGCAAAAAAAGGAATATCTCATAGCCACGCTCTCTATGCTGAAGTGGGAGTTTCTTTTTACTTTTCCAACTACTTTTTGAATGGAGCTTTAGATTTATTAAGTACTCACTTGTCAGAGGTTGACATCTTTGATGAAGTTCTCATGGAAGGCTTGGGAGTTAACTGAAGGGTTGAAAGCACAGCAGGAATATCTAGTTACGACATGGTAATTCTTTTTGTTAACAGCATGATAAGGCATAGGGTTAAACGTGTTTGGCATCTCCAGGTCAAATAATGAGGTATTGATTAATAGCCTTTAGTGCAAGCATGTAGTTAGTCTTAAACTCTTAGCGTAGATTACCTTTATGCATATATGACTGTAAATATTATACTAAATGTTCCGGAATTCTTTTACATTGCTTGGGCAAAGAGTGTTTTACTAAGCTGTTTTTCATGAATGTTCCTGAATAAAGTCTGCTTTTGTAGTTAGTAGTAAGTGCAGAAATTAAGTAGATACAGTATTTAAGACTTTTCTCAGCTCTTGCTAAATCAAAAACTTGCTTAGTGAAATACAATGCTTAAATATTCACCTAAAAATGTTCCTGAACTGAATAAAGTGTTTAAGTTACTCCAAAACTGTAAATTTATATATCAGTTTAGATTAAAAGCAAGGTTCAATAAAGGTCTTCTATAATAACAAGAAACATTTACATTTTTATTGTTTTGTCCTCCGGTGAAATCAAGAATGTTATGTGCTCTTACTTCAGAGGTACTGCATATAGAACTAGGAACACAATTAAAAATTAATGTAGAGACTAGCCGATATAGAAGTGTCTGAACATGAATGTGAGCAGCAGGAATATATCTCAATTCATTTCTGATCCTTTCTAGATGACATTTTCCTATTTTCTGCAACTGTAGAGAAGAGAATGAAGTGTTAGTGTCCCACTTTTCTGTAATGCGCTGGTGGTAAAAGCACTTTTTCAAGGACAGGATTCATTTTAGTACTTAAAGGAAACAGTAGAATGATAATTCTTATCTATCTCCCAACTCTTATAAGATTACTATTACATTCATGTGTTCCATGACATCAGTCAGAAATTGCCTTCAGGAACAGGCCACAGGGATAGAATGAGAATATTTACTAGATGATCTTAGAAAGGAAGGGATGCTAAAAATTTTCGTTTCTGTATTTCTAAAACCAAAGCAGCTATTCAGCCTTAGAGTCTTAGCTCTGTATAGGGCACAGCTTTCATCGCCTAAAAAAGTGTAATTGCTCTTAAGCAGAAAAATGGTTATTTGTATTGCAGCTCTGGATTTTCATTCTTCTGTTCTACATTTAGGAATCTGCAGTCTCTATGTGTGGGAATGAGTTCTCAATCTTTGTACTTTAAGCACTTCTCTCAAGCCATTTTCAGTAATGTGTTGTGAAGAGCTTTCTTACGCTTTACCATTAGAAAATAACTCCTAGAAAAAGTTTAATTTTAACCATGATGTGATTTGTTTATGTTCCGAAATTTGTGATTTGTCATTATATTTATATTCATCTATCCACTGCATAATCAAGACTGATTTTGTTATTTACTTTGTAGCAGTCAAAGTTTCTAATTTGATTTTGAGGCTATAGGAAAGAATACAAGAAAGTTGTATCTTTTGATTATAACAGCTAATTTATTGGAAAAATCAGTGTGTTTTGGGGCAAATAGATGTCAAGTTAAAGGAGTATTTTGATAGAGGTATATTGAGAAGTAGCACATCTGTCTTGGAGGAACTTCTCCAGTTTAACAATAGCAGTTGTGTACAATCTAGGAGTACACTTCAGTGAGCACTGCAAGACAATTTAAACTGTCAGTGCTCTGGAAGGCAGTCCTATCTTCTTCCTCTCTCAGGCTGTTTAGTACTGCTGCCTGTTGTTGTGTCCTCATTTGTACAATGTTGGCTGCTCAGGGAACTGTTCGTGCTGAAAAAACTCCAACCTTTTAAAGCTCACAGTGTTGAACTGCTGTCTGTGGGATTGAGGCAAGCAAGGCTTCTCCTTTAACGAGGTTCATCTGTTTTGCCCTTCTCCCTGTCCTGACTGCATGCTTTCATCTCTCCTTTTGCACTGATATTGTTTTTTCTTGTAAATATAGAGTAAGTTGGATCAGCTGTAACAGCTGCAAAGGGAAGCAGGAGAGTGTCTGCATAAACTGTTTGTGTGAGAATGTACCCTCTTGGAAATATTGCAGTCTTAATTAATTTAAAACCAGTATGATACCAAGTTCTAGCAGGCTAATGACACAAGCAATTACAGCAGCATAAACTTGCACCATAATTGAAAGGTAGTGTTTTCATCCCTGAACATTTATTCATTGTGCAATATGTACTTTTGTATGGCTTTGCAGTAAACTGAACGGGGGCCCTGGTTAAACCTGGATTAAAAGCAGCTCAACATGTTTGGTTTTTTTTTAATTTAATAGCATTTTAATAGACATGACATACACTTCGATAACAGTATAAGCTCACAAAAGTTGTCACTGCTACAGCCCTGCCTATGTCTGCTGCCTGTTTGTACCTTCTCCTTTATGCCAGTACACAGTCATCCCACTGGATTGATGAGGCACTTCAGTTGCATTAGGTTCAAACATGAAAAGCTTCAACACAAGGAGGTTTTTATTTCCCCTCATAAGGTTAGATTCCTTTCCAATTCTATGCTCATATTTACTGTAATGACCTCTTTGATAGTATAATGTAAAAGCACAATATACAGAAAAAATACTAATGCTTAAGACCATAATTTCCTCAGAAAGCTTCTATTTCATGAAGACAGCATTTTTCAGTTTCAGAAATTTTTCTACTGCAAATGTAGGAATTTGGAATAAATTATTAAATTATAGTTAATAAGAATAGTCTCCAAACATTATTTTAAGCTGTCAACTTGCTGTGTAGGGAATTATCTAAAGTCAGCATTTCCTACATGCAGCTGAGTACACCTCTGGAGCCAACCAATTGAAAATGTGAAAGGGATGAGTTAGAATGCATCTACCATATGCCCTTCTCAGCACTAAGTCTCCAGAACAGTTTCCAAATAAATGAACACATATGTGCATATTCTTTCTTTTAACTTGGTATCTCTAATTTAATGGAAGAAAAAT